ATATATATTTTTTGCTTTGAGGTTGGTTATCAGGTTCTAGATATCACAACTCCAAAATTTGAAAAGATATTTTATGATTTAAAAGATATTGTTTAAGTATTGACTGAGGGAGTAGAAGGATAGTATACTCCCATGGGAGTAGAAAATCTTTTGGCTTTACAAAGATTTTTCATATTTAATACAGTGCTAAAAAAGGGTTATGAGTGGTGTCCAGTGTTCATAAAATCAAATCAGAGCGGTTAACTAGACATGGGGCCAGAAGCAGTTTAACCGGCCTAACCTGTAAATCAGCCCATTTAACCGTTCTAATTGGGCAAGTCTTAGATGGTCAAAAAATTGTTCAAAAATTTTAAAAATATACAAAAAAAAATCTACAAAAATATGAAAAGAATATAAAGAGTGATTAGAACAAAACACATTCAAATAAAATAAAGTTGAAAATTAATGGAAAAGATGTATTTTAAAGAATCGATTTGTGCCTAGGGGTATTTTTAAAATTTTTCAAAAACGATGGGAAAATATAAGAGTAAGTATCAATGACCAAATGATTTTTAATATTTACGAAAATTTAAAGAATATTAAAAAATGTATTACAAATCAAATTCCTTATTTTTGGGATTTTATTTACAGTTTTTTGAATTTCTTTTTAAAATATCGGCTGATCATTAAAACTACTCGAAATCGGAATTGGCCCCTAACCAGGCGGTTACCGGTTAGATCGCCAAGTTTTTCTAACTTTTGTGGTGTCTATCTATCATTCTACATAATCATTACAATTGGATGAGCATCAGTGTTCATAACTGCTAACCACCCGATTAGATTGGAACCAGCCACTAACCAATCCCGGTTTTGGGCAGTTCTGGTGATCAACCAGTAATTAAATAAAAATTAAAAAAAATATATATAAATTCTCAAACATAAGGAATTTGATTTGTAATGTATTTTTTTAAAATATTCTTTACATTATGGTAAAGATTAAAACTTATTTTAGTCATTAGTACTCACGTTTATATTTTCCCCATCTTTTTCAAAAAAAATTTAAAATCCTCGGCACAGATAGATTCACTAAATTCTATCTTTTCATTAAGTTTCAACTTTATTTGAATGTGTTTTGTTTTAATTATTCTTTATATGTTTTTTATGTTGCAGTAGATTTTTTTTGCATCTTTTTTTATGTTTTCAACACTTTTATGAACGCCAGGGACTTGCCCTGTTAGAGCAGTTGAATCGGCCGGTTAACCGGTCAGGTCGGTTAAACCGCTTCCGCGCCTATGTCTGGTTAACCGTTCTGGTTCGATTTTGCAAACACTAGTGAGCATCAAGTATCTCAAGACAAGTCTATCTTATGCGTATCTGGTCGTGATTAAAAAATTGACGAGTCGCAACGGACTCGCCCAAGTCGGCACAAGAATCGGTTACCCCGTACCGATTTCAATGTAAAACCGGGAACCGCTTGGTTCTAGAACGAATTGGCCGGTTCTGCACAATGAACCGCTTGTATGACATCATACAAGGGTGAATGTCGCCCGTATGACATCACATGGCGAGTCGCATCGATTTTGAGAACACTGGTGAGCTTCAAGTATCTCAAGACAAGTTTATCTTATGCGTATCTGGTAGTGATTTAAAAATCGACGAGTCGCAACGGACTCGCCCAAGTTGGCACGAGAGTCGGTTACCCCGTGCCGATTCCAGTGTAAAACCGGGAACCGCCCTGTTCTAGAATGAATCGGCCGGTTCTGCACAATGAACCGCTTGTATGACATCATACACGGGTGAATGTCACCCGTGTGACATCACACGGTGACTCACATACCGATGAGTTAACACGTGGCAAAATACCGATTTTTCATAATTCACACGTGGAAGACCTCCGTCACCCACAGGGCGCGCATGGATGGCAACCTCGGCCACACGCAAGCAAACCTCAAGGAACTTACAAAGCAATTTATAGAATCGAAACTAAAGCTTGCTGTTGGATGTGGGATAATTCTCACGGTGCATTAAATTACAATGGAATTTGGAAAAGTAATATTAATGTAAAAAATAAGTACACTTGTGCTAATATGGTAGAGTGGGTATTACTTCCACTTTAAGCCTTCACGTCACAAGTTCGATTTCGATTGGACACATTTTATTTTATTTTTGTTGACAATAAAAATGAGCAGAAAATAATTTTTTTTAATTTTTAATTTTTAATTTTTTTTAATGATTCTCTTTCTATTAACAATTTTTTTTACTAAATTTATTTTATAAATTTTAAAAAATATAAATAAGAAAAAAATAAATTTTTTTTAATTTTTAATTTTTTTTTTTAAATCTCTCTCTTTCTATTAACAATCTTTTTTACTAAATTTATTCTATAAATCCAAAAAAAAAAATTTTAAAGAAATTTATTTCATTTGAAATCTCTCTCTTTCTATTAACAATCTCTTTTACTAAATTTATTCTAGAAATCTAAAAAATTAAAATTTTGAAAAACTAAAGTGTTCTTTCAAAAATTGGTATGCATTCTGATAATTTCCCCAAATTTTAATTTTATTTATTAATTTTTACATTATAAATCATGTAATTTATTATCTTTCTTACAATTCTCAATAATACATTTTAAATTAGATCGTATTACAAAATATTTTTGATTTGTTATTATTTGTATAATAAAATAATTATTAAATTTAAACCAACAATTTTAATTTAAGCTTATAACATTATTGTTAGTTGGGTTGTAATAAATTTGGATTATGGTTAGTTAGTTTGTAATAATTTAGGTATTTTTAGGGGATTAGGGCTTTTTGTCAATTTGATATTTTGATGGTCATTTTTTATCGATTAAATCTGCTCTTTATAGTAGTCCATGAATGATTATATATTTTATCCATGGTAATTATAGGATTTTTCTTATGTGTGATGTAAATTTAATGGTTAACATAAGCTTATATAGAGAAAAAACATATCAATATTCACAAATTGATGAAAAAAGTGAAAGGTAACAATGGAGTACCCTCATTTCTTATTGAATTCCTAAAAGACAACATTTATAATTAATTTTAATAATATTTTTGAATTTTTTTAGAGCTTAATCTGACCGAGTCGGTTGATTCCCGATCCGGATCACCGATTCACCGATCCGGATGGGTTTTTGAAGTGCCCGATCGGGGGCACCAATCCTTTTTTTAAATCATTGGTATTTGAGGACCAACAATCATATGATTTTAATTATACGGTTGAGAGTAAAAAAAACATATTATTATCGACTCACACCTAGCTATCCAATTGAACATGAACAATTGTAAAAATAATATAGATTAAGAGATAAAAAGGTTTATGTCCAATAAAGAAAGCCGAACTTTATCATTAGAAAGCCCAATGATAACTCAAAAGAACTTTCTAGAGACAGGGTGAGAAACGGAGAATATATGTGACATATAAAATATAAATGAGGTGAGAATAATGTGGCTGATGATTGCAGATTATGGATCTCCTAGCAACTCTGTGAGTCATTTTTCATGTTTATTGTGAAGCGAATAATGCGGCTAATGCTTTGGCTGAGGGTGGATCTTCTTTACCTTCGCTTGTTGTCTCTAATGATGTAAATTTTTTTTTGTACTTATCAATAAAAGTATCAACATTTGTCAAAAAAACGAGATGAGAATATATGTGACATATATAAAAGATAAACCCTCATTTTATGTAATCACAATCTTTTATTCAACCTATGGAGTCTCTAGTTTCATATAAGATATAGAGTGGATAATGATGAAAATGTCGAAATCCATATTCTGGTTTTTTTGACGACCTTCAGCGACCCAAATCAGATTTTCGGCATTCTAGGTTTAACTGAAAACTACGGTAAGTTTTGTTTAAAAAAAAAGTGATTTACGTATGGAACGTAAATTTTTTCTTAAAGTACGAAATGGTCTATTTATTGGTGGAAATTACAAATAATCAACTCATTTTTTTTTTTTTTTTTTTCAAAATTTTCCATCTATTCGAGGACAACCTCAAATCGAATTTTTGTTTTTTCGTTAGTAGGGCACTACCCTAAAGTTTGAGGCATTGCCATACTAACGGAAAAACTAAAAAAAATAAAATAAATTTTGGACTCGGGATTCCATCCTCAGGCCGAAGGAAATTTTGGGAAAAAGAAGAAGAAGCAAATTGACCGACCTTCTTTGTAATTTCTGCTTGTAAATAGAGCATTTCGTATTTTTTTAAAAAATTTAGGGTAAATCACTTAAAAAAAATAGTAGTTTTTAAAATTAAAGACTTTTTTTTTTAAATCAGTTACTATGAATTTCATTAACCCATAACGATTACAACGAGGTCTACAAAGAAAAGAATGTACCCACTAACAAGTGCTGATGCACACCACCTTTTGCTAAAGCATTTGCTTCCATATAAACCTTCCTAAAACAGTGAGATAACTCAAAAGAACCACTACTTAAAATGAAAAATATTTTGTAAAAAAAGCTGCATAATCTCTTGGCCATTGAGATTCTTTATTATTTTTAAACCTTCTAAAAGAGCTCTTGCATCAGTTTCGTTCACTGTTGTTTGTCCACATGATCCCGAGTAGGTTAATTTATAATTACCTATATGATCTTTAATAATACCACCATAATCTGCTGGGTTTGGGTTTCTAATCTAGTTTTCATCAAAGTTGAGTTTTAAGTAATTTTCATGAAAAGGGATTCAAATAACATTTCGAATATGTCTGTCATTATTAAGCTTAGCAACTTCAAATTCCTAAAAAATATGTGACTTTGGAATAAATTTATAATCCTTATTGATTGAAAATCACTCAGCTGTTGGTGCTAAACTGTTGGAGTTCAAAACTTCAATCTCACCCTCTAAAAGTTAATCTATTTCTCTTTCTCCAAATATTCGGAATAGTGCTCACCAATATAGCGCTTCACAACATAATGCCAATTTTCGGCAACAAAGGCTCCTTTCATTGAGAGAGGATCAACTCGAGTATATTTACATTCCCGTATTAAAGTCCCGGGCGGAATTCGTGCGGCGTAAACGGGCGAGTGAGGAAGCTGCTCCTGCGGGAGGACCACATTTTTCTTGAAAATACGTCTTGAGCATTCCGGCGAGTTAAATATATCAATCCGGGTGTCCTTGTGGATATAAGAGACTTGTAGAGTGAGGCGTAAGCGACGAACTAATTCCATGGCGACTCTTTCTCTCATTTTTTCCACTGTTAATCTGCAACGCCATACTTTTTCTTATTATTCTACCTCTTCCTTTTGTTCTTATATACTCAAAGGGACAAGAGAGCTAGGGTTTGGTCGGAGACCTCAAATAGAGGTCAGATCTAATAGGGATAAAGAAATAGAGATTGGAAGTGAGGAATGGCTTGTAAAGGCGACCCCTTACCAGATTCTTGGGGTTAAAGAATCGTGCTCTCTGGAAGATCTCAGAGTTGCTTTTCGAGCTAGGGTTTGTGCCCTTTTCTCCTGTTATTGACTATATTCTTGATTGGTTTGTAGGATTAATGGAAATTAATATTTGGACCGAAGATATTTAGAAGGAATTAAAAAGTAGTCTATATTCCTGGACATTTTAACGTTGCGGTGAAAATTTTTGAGTTTTTTTATGTTCATTTTACCTTGTCAAAGGTTCAAATCTTGAATGTAATTTCTTTTTCCAAATTAAAAACCGATTTGTGGTTTAGTGATACAAATTTCAAACCACCCGAACTATAAGGTGGTTTGAAGGTTGAACTTTAAAATTGTTGGAAGGCCCAACCTTCAAATCGTTTACTGGTAATTTTTTAAAAGTAAATGGTCTACACCTCCTAACAGCTTCATGTTGCTCATTACAAAGTGCAGCTGGAGAGTGTAAGGTTTGTGGAACCCCTCGCTTGCGGAACTGGGAATCCCAAAGACCGGGATTCCACCCAAGATCTTGTATACAATTAGCTAAATGCGAAGTAGATTAATACAACTATAAATTGAGTGCAAGAATACAATAAACTTAAAAAGCACACCACAATAAGCCACGTTTTACATGGTTCACCCTATCAGGCTACCTCTGATAACTAGAAATCCATTGCCACAATGAAGATTACAGTTTTGGGTTAAAAGAGATATATCTCTCTCTAAACATCGATAAAAACCCCTCACCGATCTTCCTTTTTACCCACTGTCTCGATCGAGCAAAACCATCGATCAAAATCTTTTTTCCCATCGCAATTATGCTACAAGAAAGATAACTTTGAGAGCAACCAAGAAACTTTCTCTCTCTAGAAGTGGATACTAAATCAACCCAAAACTTCATGAGAATACCGCCTCTATATAAGAGTCTTTCCCATCGCAATACTGCTACAAGAAAAATTACTTTGAGAGCAATCGAGAAACTTTCTCTCTCTAGAAGTGGAAACTAAATCAACCCAAAACTTCATGGGAATACGCCTCTTTCTAAGAGGCCGTGTCTCTCTCTTGGAGATCCATTCCCATAACCCCCAAATGGATGACCCTCAAAAGGATGGGTATTATGTCTTTCTTGACTCTATTATATAAATATCACCTTTTTGTTTATCAAGAAAGTCCCTTTTGTTTTTTTTACAGTAATACCTCTAATCTTTTAGAGGAAAATATGGGTATGGTGATTTGGCTATCACCACACCCAACAGAGAGTTTGACTTTGACCTTTGAACAAACCACACAATTTGCTGTTTTGGGTGTTTAGATTTGTTCGAAGGTCCAACCCTCATATTGGTTTATAGTTAAAGAAAAAAGCATTACAAGATTTGAACCTTGCAATTGAGGTAAAATGGGACAACAAAAAGCTTGAAAATTGCTTTCTCAGAGTTCACTGAAAATATTCCTTTCATCGATATTCCCCTCTCTAGGGCTTCCTTCACTTGCTCCAACCATGCCTTTAATCCTATAATGACCAAAATTGATAGATTCCTTGTCTCCTAGTCTTGGGAATCTACTTTCACGGGGACCTTGTCCCGTGCCTTATCTAAGTCCACTTTTGACCATAAGCCTATCCTTTTGGACACCAATCCTATCGATCGCTCGATCAAACCTTTTAGATTCAAGCTCTTTTGGTTGGAAGAGCCCGCTTTCACCCACCTATTTAGATCCACTTGGCCCTCACTGTCCGTCACTTGTTGGGCGGTTTTAGACTCTCTAGGAAGCTGCAACTTTTGAAGGCCTCCATCAAGCAATGGAGCCGCTCTCTCCTCGCGAACTTCAGTGAACAAATCAATTCCTCTTTTGTCCTTATCCAGTCTATTGACTCTTTGGAAGAATCCTGACCGCTCACTCCTCAGGAAAGTGCACAGATGGCCTCAACCAAACATAACCTTTTCCACAATCTAAAGCATGAGGAAACCTATTGGTACCAGAGCTCCATACTCAAATGGCTCAAAGTGGGAGATAGATAGGTAGTCGATCCTTCTTCCAACCTGAAAATATTAATCGCATCTTCTTATGATGCTTTAAAAATCTATTCCCTTCACTAGGCAATCTCACCTTTCAGACTCTCCCACTGGCAGAGTCAGCTTGGTTAGAGAGACCTTGTCTCAAGACGAAATCAAGAAGGCGGTCTTCGAACTACCTAAAGACAAGGCCTCGGGGCCCGATGGCTTCCCCATCGTCATCTTTAAGCAATTTTGGGATCTTTTAGCCCCGGACCTTTTAGCCTTCTTTGTAGAGTTCTTCCATAGGGGTCGCCTAAACTCTGCTCTAAATTGAACCTTTTTAGCTTTAGTCCCTAAAATTGATGGAGCTCACAAGCTGAGAGACTTCATATCCATTAGTCTCGTTAACAACTTCTACATGATCGTCGCAAAGGTTTTAGTCTCCTGCCTCTAGGAGGTGCTTAATTCAATAGTTTCCCCAACCCAATCTTCTTTTGTTGCTAATAAACAAATCCTACATGGTGCTATCACGGCATGATGCCATTGACTCTAGATCTCTATTAGGCTAGAAGGGCCTCATTATCAGGCTAGATTGGGAAAAGGCTTATGAGTTATGATCGGGTGGATTGGGATCTTCTTGACCTTATCCAAATTCATATGGGCTTTGGAACTAGATGGACGAAATGGATTAAAGCATGCATTTGCAACCCCACTTTTTTCATTCTCCTCAATGGTTCCCTAGTCGGTTTCTTCCCTGCAATTAGGGGCCTGAGACAGGGAGACCCTCTATCGCCCTTCTTTTTCACCATTATTGGTGAACTATTCTCTAGAACCCTCACTCAACTCTTTGACATAGGAGTTCTCATGAGCTTTAGGACTTTCCTTGAATGGCAGGTCCTCTCCCACTTTCTCTACGTTGATGACACACTCATTTTCTTTGAGGCCTACCCTTCTCAGATTGATAGCATTTGGCTCGTCCTTAGGAGCTATGAACTCCTAATCGGTATGAAAGTTATTCTATATAAGACTAAAATGTTGGGCATTTTGGTGGAAAATGAAGATTTACAGCTTCTTGCCCAACATTTGGGATGTGCTATGGAAAGCCTTCCTTCTTCTGTCTTGGTCTTCCCCTTTGTTTAGGCAAGCCCTGAAAGCACCTCTAGGACAATCTTATTGAGAAGTTCAACCAGAAGTTTGTTGGCTGGAAGGGTAGGTATCTTTCTCTCGGAGGAAGAATTACCCTTATCAAATCCACACCATCAAACACCCTATGTACCACATGTTCCTCTTTCAAATCCCTGTTTCTGTTCTTCAGCATCTTGAGAAACATATGCGAGACTTTTTGTGTCAGGGTCTTCTGAAAGCAAAATTTCACCTGGTAGCCCGGGACAAAGTCTGTACCCCCAAAAAATATGGGGGATTTGGGTATCAAAAAACTTAGAACTATGAATCTTGCCTTCCTAGGCAAATAGTGGTGGAAATTTACTTTCCCTCCCACCCGCTCATGTGGAAACAGGTTATCCAAGTGAAGTACAGACTTGGAGAAGACAGGTGGCTGCCTAGATCTCCCTTCCATAGATCCACTACAGCCTGGAACTGCATCACTTCTAGCAAATTAGCTTTCCTTAACTGCATTAGGTTTTGATTAGGGAATGGTCAGATAATCAAATTTTGGATGGATAGTTAGATACGAGTCCAACCCCATAGGCATGCCTTCCCTTCTCTATTCCTCTTGGCCCAAAACCGGGCAGCGGTGGTTGCTGAATATGTTGGGGTTGGAGGTTCGGCCTTGGTTTGGACGCCCATTTTTAGGAGAAGCTCACAGACTAGGAGTCCCTTTCCATCTTCTCCTTATGCTAGCTCCTCTTTTCAGCCCACTCCAAAGTCAAGACTCTCATCTGGTCTCCAAACCCCACAAGGAGTCCCTTTCCACCTTCTCCTTATGCTAACTCCTCTTTTAAGCCCTCTCCAAAGAACCCCACAGGGATTTTCACAGTCTCCTCTTTCTACTCCTCCTTACTCCCTAATCTATCCCCTGCACCTCTTCCCAACAAATCTTGGTCCCTGCCAGTGCCCCAAAACATACAAGCCTACATATGGGTGCTTCTGCAAGGTAAAACCCTTACATTAGACCAACTTCAGTACAGGGGGACTCTACTCAATCGTTGCATCTTGTGTCTCCAAGATGAGGAGACAATCCCCCACCTTTTTATCCACTGTGAGATCTCTTATGGTGTCTCTTCATCTTTCCTTAAACTCTTTCGTCTTCATCTTTCCTTAAACTCTTTCGCCTCCATTAGGCCACTCCCCCTTCACTTGACAACCTCTTCAACACCTTCTTATCCCCTCCTTTTGCTAAAAATGGTAGAAAACTTCGGCAACTGTCCGTCGTCGCCCTCCTTTGGAGCATTTGGCTTGAGAGAAACTCCATAATCTTTAGGAGCACTTCCTTTGCAGCTCCATCCACATGTCATGTTCGAGCATATCAACTTCCTTTGCAGCTCCATCCACATGTCATGTTCGAGCATATCAACTTCCTTTGCAGCTCCATCCACGTGTCATGTTCGAGCATATTCCTCAAGAGGGCAATTCTGAAGCAGACAGGCTGGCTAAGGAAGGAGCACACCAAGCCAGAGCATAGCAAGCCACAGCTCCATCCCACAGGTAAACAAAGGTTTACACTGAGCTAGACCGCTGGGCTAAGAAGGGATCTTGCCAGGCCACAGGTGCACCCCCAGCTCCTTGAAACCACATACCCCTCAATCTGTTCCGTCTCCTCCTCTCCAAAAAAAATAAAAATAAAAACAAAAAATAAAGAAAAAAAAAGAGAAAAGAAAGGGAAAAAGTTTTAAAAAATAAATAAATATTATTACAATATCATTCTCTCTGTTTGCTGCTCTTCTTCCAAATCATTCCGTCACCCCCTTCTCTCTTTATTCTCTTTCTAACAACCCTCTCCTCTCTTCCCCTCCCCTTTCTTCACCGCACACATCTTCTGTACAATCCATCATCCTTTTCTCTGTCATTCTCCTCCTCTCTCTTAATATCTTTGGCCCCTTTAATCTCT